AAATTTTTTTTTTGAAATTTTCAAATTTTGACCCGGCCGGGTTATGAAAACCATTTAATTAATTTTGCATGGCCTTAAATGGGGTGGCAACATGGTTAACACTCTCACCATCCCAACCATCATAAAGTATCATTTAAACAATGAATTACATATTTTCTCATGACTCACGTGCCCTCTCTAAAACTTCTTAAATGCTTTAATGTTTTTAACGAAGGTATCTAAGTAAATATTAATATGTAAATATAAAAGTAAATTTTAATTTTAATTGAGATAAGTTATCATGTAATCTAAAGTAGAATTGTTATGTCTAATATAATTCATTATTTACATTTGTATTGACAGTCAAAAACATTGTATCTTTTAAATTTTTTAAATGAAAATATTATACTAAATTTTTTATTAAATGATGCAATATTTTTGACTGTCACTATATTATGTTTATGATTAAATAGATCACTAGAGAAACTCTTACTTGGGCTACACCTTTCCAAACTGTATTTTTCGGAGGTTTTGAACATGGTGATATCGCTTGGTTTCTTGAAGGTCAATTGAACGCTACTTATAATTGCGTAGATAGACATGCTATTAAAAATCCTAATAAGGTATTGTATTAAAAAAAAAAATTAAGGTTCAATTGATAATTTAATTTAGTCAAATGAATACTTAACAATATTTTAATTGCTCTGATAGGTTGCCATAATTTATGAAGCTGATGAACCTGGTCAGAATAGAAAATTACATATGGTGAACTTTTACGTGATGTTTGCTATTGCGCCAATGTATTGAAAGCTAATTAGTACATACTTAATAAAGTGCTATCTGCGCACCTTATACATTAAGTTAGATTTCTACGCATTAAAAAAATGAAATTAAATAATAAATATTCATGAACTTAGATAATTTTTTAAACGCTTAATAAATTTCTTAATACTTACCATAGATTAGCATAAACAAAAGTCAATTAAATTGTAAATATTCATAAATTTGATTAATTTACTTAAACACAGATTAATATATTTTCTTTATACCCACGTGTTAATTCAATACAAACAAAAATGAAAGTGAATAGTAAACATCTCTGAATTTAAATAATAAAATTTTTTAATACTTGCCATAGATTAACGTGAGCAAAAGAAGTCAATTAAGTAATAAATATTTATGAACTAAATTAACTTACTTAAACACTTTAGATTAATAAAATTTCTCTATACTTCTACAGGTTAAATCAATGCGAACAAAATAAAATTAAATAATAAGAATTCATGAATTTAGACAATTTTTAAACGCTTAAATTAATAAATTTCTTAAGATATATACTTACTATTATTAATGAACAAAAGTCAATTAAGTTGTACATAGTTCATAGTTGTTTTAAATATGGATGACCTTTTTAATATATATTTAGAATAATTGTAGTATAGTAGTCTGTACATATATACAGATAACATGTGAAGGGCCCCAGGTCGAATTTTTTTTTGTACACACGTATGTACGTACGTAGTATATATCAGTCACACGATTTGTCACATCTAAAATTTTATCATAGGATCTTCATAGATTACACAAATAAATGAATTTGCACTTTAAATTTTTTTCCAAAGTGCAAGTTAAAATATACATTTTTTTTCTAAGAAAAGTTGTTCCGGGGACTTTTACGAGTAAAACGGCATAGAAAACATAAAAAACCAACGTCTCTCTACAGAATACGAAACCTTCAAAGATGGCTGCCATTTTGACTTCTTCCTTCAGATTATTTTTCAGTTCGCAAATTCTTGGCTCAAAAAGTGGTTCAGTAGATGCATATGAGCTAGGACTTTCTGCGAACTATGACTTTGAATAGATAGTATGTTATAAGTTTGTAGAGAAAATAATGAAAAATTATTTTATACTATATAGATCGGTAAAATAAAGGCATTATGTGCTTATAATCCTGACAGTTCAAGGTAAAGTTATTTAATTTGAAGTATTTTATTAAATTTTATTAAATATATTGAATTTTATATGATGTGTAATTTATTCTGATCTACTTTACTAATACTTTCTATGATCGCTTATACCGGTTATACCATCTATCATAGATTCTCTTTGAAGTCCAATATTCATATAGCGACAATTTTCTTTTTAATTCGTTGACAAATGGTGCAGGTAATACATTGGAATCTTTATATTCCTCTAGACCTTTTAGAATCTCTTCTTCAGCATTCGTGGTTATGTGTTTTGTATGTTTTGTACGTGGTGTAGGTCTTGAAGATGATAAGCCTTCTTCATTATTGGTCTCTTCAATTTCCGTATCAAGTAGTTCTGGAACCTGCTTAGAACTAGTTTCTGCTATTGTTTCCATTGTGTTGGTAGCATCCATTCTTACACGTTTTGTCTCTTTTGTCAATTTCATAGGCAATAGGTATCATTTTCCTTGTCCTTTCTTCACTTGTGAAGCAGTATTAGTAATATCTTGCGCGACAATATCATTCATCCTTTTAATTCCAGACTGGTAACAATTAAACATGCGGAAGTACCCATCATGTGTTAATTGTGTAATTACTGTGAATAGATCGTGTGACTCTGGCTCTGGGCTACTAAATGCAATTTCAAGTTTATTAATTAGTTCCCAAAGAACTTCTTGATGATTTATAACAGACCGTGGACTTGTTCTTACTAATGGGTCTCCGACAAATTCTGAAACCAACAAGTTAAATCAGTTATGTTCTGCTTATGCCGCCTTAATATTTAGCCTCAAATTATCCAAATTAGTTGATGGCCCAGTCATATTCTCTTTTATGAACTTTACTCCAAACATTTCCAAAGTCTCGTCGTGAGCAAGATAATGGTCTTCTTGTGTCATATTTACTGAGGGCATTGCTCTAAGATCTTGAAGCAGTTGTGGGTTGCTTTGAAGATCTGATAGAAATTGTGTTACAGACTCGGCATATCTTCTTTTTCTGGTTATAGAAAATAAAGGAGCAAATGCCATTAAACTATACAATTGTAAATCGAAGTTTGCTATACGAATTCCAAGCTTGTGTAGTTTCAAGTATCCTGCCCATAGGTAAAAATTGTACTATGTTTTTAATAAATTGTTGTTTGCTAAAATATTTTCAATAGGCATCTCTGCTTTCTGAATATATAGGTGAATCACAACTCCAACTGCCGTCCAAATGAGCTCAAGTATTCGAAATGTTGCCCGATAGTCAACGACTTTTTCAAATTTGTCAAGGAATTTTACACCAAGCTGTGAGGCAAGTCCAAAAAGACCATAACCTGAAAAGGCAGCAATTAATGCACTGCACATTGCTTTATTTGTATGCCACTGCCCTAAAATACAATGCACCGTTTGCTCTTCACTTTTATAGTCCTTTATACGGCGATATATTGCTTCGTCATATACCAAATTCAACACGCCATTCTCTGTATAACCGAAGTCTTCTAGAAATAAGTCGACTGCTCAATGAACATTTTCGTTTTTATTTGGAGCATCTCCCAGTCCGAGAATCACAGCATTTGGTGGTGCCAAAAATATTACTGAGTCAAAATTTTCTCTAATTGCTTCATTAATATCTTCAACACCAAATTCATAATCTTGATTAACTAATCGATTAAAGACTGCATTAATTTTTTGTTGCCATTTTTCTATTGTAGAACTTATACCAAAGAGGTTCTGATTTTCTAATGGATCTCCATCTAAATTGACAAGTTCTGGATGTTGGGATTGAATTACCATCCTTAATGTTGCATGTGCAGTAGTACGAGGTACGTCAAAGATGTTACCATATTGGAAAGTTTTGTCTTTCATATCAATATTATCTATAATTGCAAAATTTAGCACATTCAGACGTAAATCAAGTCTTAGCCGGGGATCCACGGCTAACATTCTTTTTTTTTGAAGACGTACTTCATAATCTCTAACATACGATACAACCCCGACTGTATGAAGGATCTTATACAAAGATCCAATCATGTTTGGTTGTCGACAAAGTGAAGAAAGAACTTGAGTAAACCATACTTTCAAATGGTGAAAGGTAAAGGTGAGCAACACTAAAGAGAAGAAAAGAGTACATAGTTTGATTTTTTTTTCGTTCAATAGGGGTGGAGGCAGATTTCGTTCTCTCCGTTTTCTGGCTAATACTTGATTTTTCTTTTCTCTTATAGCTGTAATAAAACCTACAAAAAAATTTATAAGAGGCGATGGCATAGCATTATAGTATTCTTCCAGAGATTCGGGCACCTCAAGTGATGCTAATTTCTGTTTGAGCTTCAAATGTTCTTGTAATACTGAGTAGGCAAGTATTTTTCCAAAATCTCTACATGTAGTGGCTTTTAATCGCTTTGATTGTTCTTTTTCACTGATTTTGATTCTTTTGAGTGCAAATAATATATTGATTAAGAAAAGACTAGGAGCCATGATAACAGTAGAAGACGTTGTTGTGTTTTATGTTTCTTGTGTGCTTGTAGTAGGATTAAGGATCTTAACAAGTTTTTCTAGCAAATTGGCCTTTATGGTTTCGTCATTAGACTCAGCGATCTGCTCAATCCATTTACTAAATAACTTTAAGACGGATGTGGTATCAGAATTGTGTTGACTTTGACATGAGAATGGCTTTTTTCTTGCTCCCTGCTGAACATGCAGATGACCCCCATGCATTGCAAAGCAGTCTGTGCAAATGAACCAAGGATTATCATCATCAAATGATTTTTTTGACAGCCCATTATATTCAACAAGAGCTGGGCAACAAATCAATCCACGGCATGGTACTTGAATCGTTCTGTTACACACGTTCCATGTATGTGATAAGTATGAACATGTTTTTCCTCTTGTAATAAAGTGTTTGAATTTATTACAAAACAAATAGCGACGTAATCTAATAACACTTTCTTCTATTGTTCTTACAGCTTTTACACGCAACCTTCCTCAGGGTTTATGTAAAGTATTTTGGTCATAATTGAGATGGCACAAACAAATACCTAGCTTCAAAACCCCCTTACTGATACTCTTTACAGCCTGAGAGTCGATTTCCCATGTACCACATAGCTGCTCTACACAGTGAACTCCCTTTCTGTTACATCGTTTGATTGTGTTTTGCACATTATCATTATCGATAATGACACAGTTTGTAAGTAGGTATTTTTGGCAGAAGTGGGTACTAATATATCAGTTTCTTCTTCGAATATTTCTTGTATTTCTGCTTCATCACTTTCAAAAGATTCGTAGCCTTCATATTCAGCTTCTTCAATTGATGCATTAATTATTTCTTGC